AGTCAGGTAGAGCCCTGTGAGCCATGTGTCCTGTCGTGGACGAGCCATCTATTTGTATATCTGCAGTGGCTATTATTGGGCCTAAGCCTAAACATCAAGAAAACTGAAACAATTGTGATAAACAGAAAAACTCTAACCCGTCCTGTAATATCAAAATCAATGATACCATCTTCAAGCAAGTACATGTACAATAGTTTAAATATTTGGGGACCATTAGAGGCTATATAATCAGATGGGGAGATATCACACCGAAATTAAAGCGAAAGCAACCTTTCCCAAAAGGAAACAGATCCTCACAAACGTCAATCTGTCACTGGAAATGAGAAAAAGAGTAGTGAAAAGTGACATGGAGCCAATCCTTGTACGAGAGCCAAGCATGGACAATCAATAAACAGCTGGAAAGAACAATTGAGGCGACAGAGTTGTGGTTCATAAGACGCCTGATGCCTATCCCATGGACAGCTAGAAAAACACATTTAAAAAGTCTTGGTTGAAGCAAATTGCAGACGACAGCTTATGACAAATTATATCAAAAACGACAAGCAAAGTTCATTGGCCACACAATGCGGAAAGAAGCTTTTGAAAGTATTGTAACAAAAGGCAAGTTTGGTGCGAAGAGAGGCAGGGGCAGACAGAGGGAAAAGATACTGGACAAGATGACAACATGGCTGGGAATAGCAAAGAACGACAGACACCATTGCTGCAAAGCAAGACAGAGTGAAGTGAAGGTCCATGATCGCCCACGACAGTCGGCAAGGCACCGGATGATGATGATAGGCTGTTATAGGACTACAGAATGTGCTCTACATACGTGTATATCCCGTGTCCATCGTAGGACTACAGAATGTGGTCTACATACGTGTATAGCCCGTGTCCATCGTAGGACTACAGAATGTGCTCTACATACGTGTATAGCCCGTGTCCATCGTAGGACTACAGAATGTGCTCTACATACGTGTATATCCCGTGTTCATCGTAGGACTACAGAATGTGCTCTACATACGTGTATATCCCGTGTCCATCGTAGGACTACAGAATGTACTCTACATACGTGTATAGCCGTGTCCATCGTAGGACTACAGAATGTGCTCTACATACGTGTATATCCCGTGT